GGGTCCTTCCTCAAAGGGACCTGGCCTCCCCTTCATTCAAGGGGTTGTGGGTCTGTAAACTGACTCAAGTCTGGGAATTGATTGAGAGGTCGTGACTCTGTATTCTGGCGACTCAATCTATGTTGTTGTTCACGTGACCTAGAATTCTTCTGTCTATACAGATCAAGTAAATGTTTAGTAGGCTTGCCATGTATTTCACTACTAGGAACACCATGAGGAAGTAGCCAATGCCATAATTCCACACGAGTCAAGACTGTTCTGATTAGTGTTCCGACTCTGCTGTCCATTATGGTAACCACGCCCACCTTGCCTTTGTCGATTAACTGCTGCCACTTGGCCCCTACTACCACGGGGTCCAATCAGCCCCATCATAGTTAAGTATTTTAGTTCAATGAGGGCAGTTCCCACTGTCAAATCAGGTTTACATAAAATAACAATCACAGCAGTCTTCGAGGATGGTGGAGCTCCCTTCACAAATTTATTCCTCAGGATACTGTGACAGGCGTGTCTTCTGGACTCTCCATTTCTGGCTCTAGGGATCTAATCTGATAAATTCATTCTAACAGGCCAATTTCCCTAAGCCTCTGGATACCTTCTTCTACATTAAACCAAGGCAGGTCTGGTACTTCAACTTGACTTAAGGTAGGCCACTGCATAATCCATGCCTTAGTAAGCCAACCAAATAAACTATTAGATCCTTTCCTAACCTCTCGAGCTGAGATATTGAATGAAGAATCCATACTTAGTGGTCCTAAATCAATAAACTCAGACTGATCCAATCTTACATTCCTTGCTCCATTATCCCACACCCTCAGTAGCCATTCCCATACATATTCTCCAGGTTTCTGTCTGTACATGTTAGCAAAATCAAGTAGGTTTTTTCAGGTATAGCGTATCACCTCCTCAGTCACACTTTCTATTTCACCTCTTGGGGCTCGCTTGGACTTGACTTTAGTTATGAGTCTCTTAGCAACAATGGGTGCACGAGGCAGTTCCTGAGGGCATTCAGGAATGTCTTCCATGGCTTCTGCCTCAAACAATGACCCAGCAGGAACGGTGATTGTGGTAGTTCGGTTTGTATGTCAACTTGGCTGGGCCTGGTTGAGTGGCTGGGCAGCTGGTGGTAGTTAATCCCCATGAGGAGACTGGCAATCAACTCCATGGTGGGATGTACCACAAGCAGCTGGGTAGCTGCCTTTGGGTATGTGGACTGCTTCCTGTATATAACGAGAAGCCTTTGGGAATGGTCTCTAGCCTATGACATGCTTGGAGCCTGCATGTAGCTATGTCGTTGCTCAGCAGCCTGCTATGCTCTGCCAACCTTGGGACTTACAATGGACTTAAGTTAATGGCCTGCCATGTGGTTTGGTAACATCGGGACTGTGCCTTTTGACTTGTCAACCTTGGGGCTTCTCAGCCTCAGCAGCCAGCAGCTGTCTGAGTGAAGAAATGCCTCTA